TTCTGCCTTTTGTTTGTGATGGGTTTGCTTTTTGCTGCCTCCTCTCACTCTGTCTCTCCCTCTCTCCTCTCTCCCCCCTCTGCTCTCTCTCTCTCTGTCTCTCTCGCCTCTCTGCACTTTGCCACCCCCTCCCTTAACAGATCCTCCTCCTCCTCCTCCTCCCAGCTTGGTGCCTGGTCCTGGCGCGGCTGCCGAACAGTCCCGGTCGATTCCTTCCGAACTAAATGCCTCTGTGAGAGACTCTCTACCTTCGCCATCTTAGCCCAGCTCAGCTCAGACATGGTAAGTCCTGCCAATGCCATACAATGAAGAAAGAGCCACCGAATGCCAAGAAAGAAAGGAGAGGGAGGGAAAAAAATCTCAGCCGAGAATGGCACAGCATCCAGCGTGTGACATTTAAATGACAATCAATCGCCAATACCAGCCTGGGTGTGTGAGGGGAGGAGGGACCAGGATGCTGCTGGAGGGGGGTGTGTGTGGTGTGTGTGTGTGTGAAGAGAGAGACAAGGTGGGGGAGGTAATATATTTTATTGGACCAACTTCTACTGGTGAGAGAGACAAGCAAGTGTGCGCGTAGACGTGACAATATCGACATACGAGAACACGGCAAAGCGGCTCAGATGTGCGGCTGACAGGCTGTGACCTAAAAACAAACCCAGCCGAGGACGCCTGCTGCATTGAAGTGCCGCCGATTCCTTCACTCAGGATCTTTTGGGGGCAGCCAGCCCTTGGGAGACAGAGAGCAGATTCCAGCCGCACATTCGCCCCGCTGCCACCCTTCCTCAGTTTTAGCATGAGACGGAATGTGCACGGCGGAATAACTTGGGGTGCTGCAGCAGTGATCGAACAGTTGGTTTCCGGGGATGCCCCTGACCCTGCTCCCTCCCTGCACAGTGAATTTGAATATGAATGTTGTGAGGAAGACTTGCACAGGCTGGCATCTGCACCGTTGTCCGTTAATCTTTGCACGTGTCTTATTTTGCAGCACTCCCTCCCCCTAGTTGTACACCCTTCCTTTCCCCCCTCTCAACCTTGCTGTGATCTCTGGCTGCAGATCGTTCCTGATCGGTAGCCCCTGAAATGTATTACTCCGGTGACTTGTTGGTTGTTGTTTAGAGAGAGACAGACAGACAGACAGACAGAGACAGTGTGTGAGAGTGTGTGTGTGCGCGAGAGAGAGAAGTTTCTTTTGCTTTATTTAAAGGGAAGCAAATGTTGGCTTCTGAAAAAGTAAAGGATTCCTAGATCCGATCCCAGCTGCAAAGCGGAGTTATGCCTGAGCACTTGGAACGAGGAGCGTATGCCAGCTTGGTTCTGGGGCTTTGCCGCGGGGGCCCACAGAGTCATCCCAATGTCTTTAGTTTGGAATTTAAATATATATATATATGTTTCTGTGCAGATCCCAGGTGCACAAATGAACACCGGCCCTCTTGTGACATTTTCCATCTGCTCAGGCGCTAGGAGTTACTAGGCCCTTCCAATTATTTACTAATTACACCTCGCTCGATAAATGCCGGTTTAATTTAGGAAAAGGGAGGGGTGGGGAAAGCACATTTTCCAAGATAAAGGTTTGGTTTATTATTAGAAACACTAATGTATTTGGTCCACTAGTTACCATGGAAACAACATCTGCACTGAAGTGGCTTTAAAGACATAGTGTTGGCTGTGTTTGCCTAGGCCCAGGCAGGTCCAGCTGCTCGTCCACTTCGAAACGGCTTCCCCAATGGCAATGACCGACTGGTGGAGTACTCCTTGGTGTCCCTTTTGATCGCGCCAGAAAGCAGCGATTTTAAGGGTCTGTAGCACCCACTATGGTGGTGGAGCAATTAGAGATCCTGGCAAGGCCTGTAAATGGCTGGAAGGAAATGGTTCCATTGGCAGGGGTGCCATCCTTTGCTGCTCCCAGCCATTGTGAAACCCTGGATGTGTGAAGACCACCTACCGGGCCAATGTTTTACTGGAGAAGTTCCCCGCTTCCCTGGGGCAGCTGTGCGAGTGTGCCAGGCTGAGCACAGCTGTGCCAACCAGCGCCCATCCTCTGCCACTCAGTGGAGTGCACGTAACACACTGTTGAGTGCCTATTGTGCCGCCTTGCTCTGTGTGCCTGATGCGCAGATACACGTCTGCTATTGGGGCTTGCGAGGGAGCTTAGCCCTTTCGCTTGAGCAGTAGAGGCTCAGACTCCATCCTTGAGCAAGGCCTAGGGTCAGTCCTCAGTGACGGCCAAGATGAGGATAGGTGTATTTACCCTCCCCTGCAATGGGTCCTGAGGTGATGTCACACTTCACGCTTGCCATGGCAACGTGTGGAAACCCCATTGTGGCTTGGAATCGCTGAGGGGCAGGAAGCAGAGGGGCACCAGAGCCTAGCACAGAGACTCACTGAGGGAAAGTCACCAGCCCTCACTCACGCCGGAGCTTGGGCTGGTGGTGAAGGGCCTCTGCTCGGCACGGGGGACTCCTTCGGATGATGGAGTGGGAAAGGAGCAGTGAACCGGAGTAACATGGAGGTGGCTGTCAGCGAGGCAAAGCCTGTGTCTTGCACCGATTGAACTTAACGGGCAGTAAAACTGATGCGGCTGCCAAGTGGGGAGGCAAGTCTGCTGGTTGCAGGATGTTTATAGTGTTGTTTGAGTAAAGTGGCGCCGGTATCAGCACCTTTACGCCCTTACAATTCCCTCCACGCTAGAGGACTTAGTGTTCAAACAGCGGAGGTCAGACCCAAGGCCTGGCCGTGTTTGCTTTGTACTCACGTGGCTTGTTTCCTTGCAGCTGGACTTTTGGGCAAGGGCCGTGAGGCCCAAATAATCACAGTGCTCTCCACATCACCAAGAGTTAGCACTTTGTGTGTGACTCTGGCTGTGCCACATGGAGCTTCTTGCTCAGATATGCTCACTTGCTAAAGAGGGGAGACCTTGTGGTAGAATTTGCATGGGAGACCTAAAGGAATTAGGGATTGATTGTCCTCTAAGGGATCAGTGACGCAAAGTCCAGAGATGGTGCTATGGCGTTGGAGATTTGTCTTTCAGGGTATGTCTACACTACAGCGTTATTTCGAAATAGTTATTTTGAAATATCTTATTTCGAAATAACGCATCTACACACAAAATGCATTTCGAAATAGCTTTTTGCTATTTTTAAATAGTGTGTCCAGACTGATTGGATGCTGAATCACATTTAAGGCCAGCCAGAACTGGTTGGTTTGTTTTTGGGTTCTCAGTGGTTTCTTATCAAGACTAATTTGCCTCCCCACCCATGCTTCCTGAACATTGGCTTATGAATTGGTTCCGGCAGGGCATCAGGTCAGAAGTTACCTTGTGGCCAGGGCGGCCAGCAGGGCACCCTGGGAAGGGCTGAAGGCCCCCTATTTCAAATTAAGCATCTACACAGTGCTTATTTCGAAATAGCAATTTCAAAATTGTCACTATTCCTCATGGAATGAGGTTTACCAATTTCGAAATAAGCCCTCCGGTATTTCGAATTAATTTCGAAATAGCAGTTGGCTTGTGTAGACGCTAGGAAAGTTATTTTGAAATAACGGCTGTTATTTCAAAATATCGTTGCTATGTAGACATACCCTCAGAAACTTGTAAAACCCAGCTCATCCTGGGGCCAGCCATACTGTCCTGGCTTAATCCCCATGGATGGCACCACTCTCCAAAGGAGTGTGGAGGGAATTGGCAAAGCTACATTCATTTCTGGTTGTTAGACTATCTGAATATGGCAGGGAGGTAAGTACTGTTATTTCCCCTGAGCATTAGAGAGCTACACCTTTTAAGACCACAGCATCTCTACACGAGCTATTGATGAGCCAAGAAAGTTTTGGGATTCAAATGTAGTTCACACAAGCCCCCGCTACATTCAGCAGTTTATGCAAACCTCCTGAATTTTCAAATTGGGGGTCTTATCCTGTGATTCTCACCTTTCAATGATGTTAGTGGATTGTTTAAACTGAAGCCTTTGATCTGGAAATCTCACGAGCACTATTGGGGGTTTCTGGTGAGAGAATGCACCTTCTGGGATTGCCTGCTGCTGGATCCAGAACTTGGAGGTGGAGAGGCAAATGTAAAAGTCAATAGAGGACTTAGGGGCTAAACTTCTTCTTGGCTCAGAAGAGCTTTGTTTAGATGAAGTCTCAGCGGTTTCTTATCAAGACTAATTTGCCTCCCCACCCATGCTTCCTGAACATTGGCTTATGAATTGGTTCCGGCAGGGCATCAGGTCGGCTTATGAATAAGATTATACATACCTCAAAGATGCTTTATGCAAAGTACATCATGTGACGTAAGCTTCGGGGGGTAGCCGAGCTACCAGACCATTTGTTGTTGTTTAGCATGTGATGTGTCTTTTTAAAAGTTGTAATCCACTAAATCTGCTTATCCTATGTGTGTGCTTATATCTCTTATATGTGAAGTTAGAAATATTAAGTGGGAACCTGTTTTGTTAATCCAGGTATTCTAGTAAAAGCCACTAGTGATACTTTAGGGACTGGATGGCTCAGCGATCAAGTCAACGCTCTGTGAATGGTTTTGTTTTTCCTGTGAGCCCAAACTGTGGTTTATCCTGCAAAGAGACGTGGCCATGCCACCTGATGTTGGAACCCATTTTGAATCCGGTACTTTTCCACTCAAGGGGTGCATATACACAGCAGCGTTATTTCGGAATAACAGCCATTATTCCAAAATAACAATGCGAGGGTCTACGCAGCAATTCCCTTGTTTTGAAATAAATTTGAAATAACGAACTGCTTATTCTGACTTCTGTATACCTCTTTCCATGAGGAATAACGCCTATTCCAAAAAGGCTATTTCGGAATAGCAGTAGTGTGGATGCTCACTGCTGCTATTTCGAAACAGCTCTTCCCCAAGGCCATTCAGAGTAATTACTCCCCAGTGCTTCCTGGGGCTCTAAATTGAGGTAGCGCATCCACATTAGGGAAGCCTGCCTCAGACTAATTTTCAGACTTCCCTGTAGCGTAGACGCGCTATTTCGAAATAAGCTATTTTGGACTATTTCTTCCGGAATAGCTTATTTCAAAATAAGTGCAGTGTAGACATACCCAAGATGAGAAAAATTTGAACCAAGCACAAAGAATTTCCACCCGAGCAAAAGGGATATAAAGGAAGGAACCCAAATAATAGGGGCAGTTGCCAGATGCCAGGAGACCCCCACTGACTAACATAGGGTATGTCTACACTACCCTCCTAGTTCGAACTAGCGGGGTAATGTAGGCATACCGCACTTGCAAATGAAGCCCGGGATTTGAATTTCCCGGGCTTCATT